GGGACTCCAGGATCATGACCTGAGCCGAAGGCAGTCGCTTAACCAACTGAGCCACCCAGGCGCCCCTCTGGAATAAATTTGATGCATTTGCCCAGAGCACCAATTTTAACTTGAATAGGGGTGGAGGTGCTAGCCCTAGAACAGATGCAATGGCAATGAATTAAAAAAAAAAAAAAAGAAAGAGAAAAAAAAAAAGAGACAGAGAGGGATATGAAAACAGATTCCTAAGAACAAGAACTGAGATAGTACCAGGCCAGGCCAGATGGCAGAAAGAATCCAAACATGCCTCATCTTCTGCCATTTATTTATTCTTCCTTCACCTGCCACCCACTTGCATCTGGAATCAGGAAGGATTTTTAGATAAAATGAAAAAAAGGAAAAAAAAAAACAGGAAAAGAAAAACTCTAATGTTGATTAAAATTAAAATATATTGCATTTTGGAAGATGCAGATATATAGAGGTTTGATTCTAAGTTAATTAGAACGATCCCAGACAAAGACATCAGAAAGGTGTCTCAGAAGGTAGAAGGCCTAATGTTTTCTTCAGGTCTGACATCAATGGAAAGAGGATCAACTCCTTCAGGCAGGAAATTAGGAATATTTTGTTTTTCAGGTTTTAAATTTTTATAACTAGAAATAGAGATGAAAGAGCAGAGCATACAGAGGGAATAAATGCTATTATTTCAAAATGAGAGTAGCAGTTGGCTAAATAGAAGAGACTTGGTTGGAAAGTATCACTGTCTATAAGAAAAGTCATTCCAGGGGCGCCTGGGTGGTTCAGTCGTTAAGCATCTGCCTTCAGCTCAGGTAATGATCTCAGGGTCCTGGGATCGAGCCCCGCACTGGGCTCCCTGCTCAGTGGGAAGCCTGCTTCTCCCTCTCCCAGTCCCCCTGCTTGTGTTCCCTTTCTCGCTGTCTCTATGTGTCAAATAAATAAATAAAATCTTTAAAAAAAAAAAGTCATTCCAGTATTAGCAGCAAACTGGATTGTCCTAAAAAAATAAAGCTTAATTTTCTCATTTTTTCATCTCCAGGCCACCTTGAGCATAACCTAATGATCAAGGAAGATAGAGAAAAAACAGCTAAAGTAAACTTAACCATTCAAAATAAATAAATCACCCACAAGCAAAACCAAAAGGGTAAAAACTTCCTTACAATGACTTCCAACTTATCATAATAGCTAATGTACAATGTGCCAAACACTGTTCTAAGCAATTTAATCATACTAACTAATTTAATCCTCACATCAAACCCAAGAGGCAGGTACTATTATTAGTTCCACTTTACAGATGAAGAAACTGAGGCAGAGAGACATTAAGTACCTTACCATAGATCATGAAGCTAATAAATGGCAGAGCAGAGATTTATCTGAATCGGACAGTCTGCTTAAGGGTCTGTGCTCTTCTTTTTTTTTTTTTTAGACTTAGATCATAACCTGAGCTGAAATCAAGAGACGGTCATTCAACTGAGCCACCCAGACACCTGGGGAAGGGAGTTCTGTGCTCTTATATTCAAGCCATGGCTTTGGTCAAAAGTATTAAAGTTGAGGGGCGCCTGGGTGGCTCAGTTGGTTGGGCGACTGCCTTCGGCTCAGGTCATGATCCTGGAGTCCCGGGATCGAGTCCCACATCGGGCTCCCTGCTCGGCAGGGAGTCTGCCTCTCTCTCTGACCCTCCCCCCCTCATGCTCTCTATCTCATTCTCTCTCTCAAATAAATAAATAAAATCTTTAAAAAAAAAGTATTAAAGTTGTAGCTACTTTCTTGATACAAATATAAGAAATGGTTTAATAAATAATCTTGCACCATAAATTGTTTTTTCATTCCTTGCCAAAGTAGCTCATTTCTTAAAAATCAAATTTTTGCTTTTGTGTTATTTGCACTTTAGGAACAGGGGAGGTTAGGGGAGCTAAAGCTAAACCTTTGAAAATCTGTTTTACCATCAAGTAACAGCTGGCCTTTGACATCCCTCAATAATACAAACATCTCAGATCACCCTGGCTAACAGACCCATCTAAATCCACCAAAAAAAAAAAATCATACAAAGACTTACAGGAAAAGATCAGAAAAAGGGTGGAGAAATCTACAAGACTTCCTTTTCCCAAATTCAGCATTTCATCTCACTAGCTAATTCACTACTGAGTCTATGAAGACATTCTTTTTGTGCTTATAATATAGGGACAGAGAAAGGTCATTAGACATTTTGACCCTTTCACAGACATGCCACTAGGTCTGAAATAGGAAAGAGTTGGGAATGAGCAGCGATAGAAAAAATGATACAGGGTATCTTACCACATAGTACTTAACTGATTATCTTTAGGGAACACCTTCTGTGCAAGGATATGACTGGTATGCACAGACATTGAATGAGGTAATGGGGATGACCTAAGACCAGATCCTTAAAAGACACAATTCATCTTGAGCTTGCAACTGCTTCAAAATTACACAGCTTCTGACAGCATCTTTGTCCTCATTAACTATGGTCTTCTGCCATCCAACCCTCCACACCTAAAACTCTTTGCTAAGAACTAGTTTCTCTTTCATTTATCCTCTCAGCCCCCAAGAACCCCACTAATAAATCCAATGAAATAAAGATTCTTAACTGGAAAATGACTGCCATAGGTGTCTACATTTCCAGAGGAACTAGTAAACAATCTAGTGACATAAAAGCAAAGAACACTGTAGTAGAAAGGTGTGTTTTATGCTCCTCTCCACCATTCAATGATTGTGTAATCCAAGAAACATAATTTACATGTCCAAAGCTTCCCTTACTTGTGTAATAAAGCTACCACCTTACTGGCCTTAAGGCAGAAGGCCAGCTCATATATTCTCTTAAGATCTCTTTCATACAGGGACGCCTGGGTGGCTCAGTCAGTTAAGCGGCTGCCTTCGGCTCAGGTCATGGTCCCGGGGTCCTGGGATCGAGTCCCACATCGGGCTCCTTGCTCCGCGGGAACCTGCTTCTCCCTCTCCCAGTCCCCCTGCTTGTGTT